GCACCCTCAACCTGCTGGGCTCCAGCGATCCTTCCGCCTCAGCCTTCCAAGTAGCCGGAATTACAGGCTTGCGCGACCATGCCCGGCTGATTTTTTGATTTATTGTAGAGATGAGGTCTCGCTGCCCAGGCGGGTCTCGAACCCGCGGGCTCAGGCAATCCACTCACCTCAGCCTCCCAAAGGCACAGGATTACAGGCTGAGCCACCGAGCCCGGCAAAAAAATACTTTTAAACCTATATGTGCCCATAGAAAATACAGACCCCTACACACAAAAAAAAAGAAAAAAGAAAATACAGGTACTTTGTCACATTAGTATACTATCTGTATTGTTCTGCAGTTTACTATTTTTATTCAACAATGTATATTTCTTAAATTTATCCATCTTGACATAGTGATCCAGTAGGTGCATTTAGAACTATGCAGTACTTTATTGTATGAATTTGCCATATTTCGTTTAGCTCTTTTCCTAATAATGGATGTGTAGATTGTTTCTAATTCTTTGCTTTTACCAACAGGGCTAAAATAGATATTCTTGTCAAGGGTACATATGTGTGTGGTGTGTGTGTGTGTGTGTGTGTGTGTGTGTGTGTGTGTGTGTATGTTTTTGAGTTGGCGTCTCACTCTGTCACCCAGGCGGAGTGCAGTGGCATGCTTCCAGCTACCACAGCCTCGACCTGCTGGACTCAGGCGATCCATCGCCTCAGCCTTCCAAGGAGCCGGAACTACAGGTACACGCCACCACGTCTGGCAAATTTTTTGATTTATTGTAGAGATGAGGTCTCGCCAAGTTGCCCAGGCTGGTCTTGAACCTGAGGGCTCGGGCAGTCCTCTCACCTTGGCCTCCCAATGTGCTGGGATTATAGGCATGAGCCACCATGAGTTGGAGTCTCACTCTGCCTCCCAGGCTGGAGTGCAATGGCACACTCATGGCCACTGCACCTAGATCTGCTGGGCTCAGGTGATCCTTCCACCTTAGTTTTCCAATTAGCTGTGACTACAAGTTTGTGCCACCAAGCCTGGCTAATTTTTTTATTTATTGTAGAGATGAGGTCTCGCCAAGTTGCCCAAGCTTGTCTTGAACCCATGGGCTCAGACAGTCCTCTTGCCTCAGCCTCCCAAAGTGCTGGGATTACAGGCATGAGCCACCACGCCCAGCTGCCTATATATTATTAAATGCTGAATAATAGCCGGGCTCGGTGGCTCAGCCTGTAATCCCGCGCCTTGGGAGGCTGAGGTGAGTGAATTGCTTGAGCCCACAGGTTCGAGACCCGACTGGGCAACTTGGCAATGCCTCATCTCTACAGTAAATCAAAAATTAGCTGGGCGTGGTAGCGCACGCCTGTGGTTCCGGCCACTTGGAAGGCTGAGGCAGAAGGATCGCCGGAGCCCAGCAGGTCGAGGCTGCGGTGGCTGGGAGCGGCCACTGCACTCCAGTCTGGGCGACAGAGTTGAGACTCCAACTCAAAAAAAAACCCAAAAAACTAAATGCTGAATAATAGTTTTTATTTTGGCCTCTAAGCATTATTTTAAGTATATTTAGTTAAGCAAGTATATTTAGTTAAGTGTCTTGTGATTTTTTTTTTTCTGTTCTTCATAGGGATGCCATTGAGAAGTTATTTCCTGATGCCATCAGAATGCGATTTGAAGACATTCAGCAGCATAATGACATAGTCCAAAGTCTTTCAGCCTTTCAAAAATATGGGAATGATCAGATTCCTTTAGCTCCCAACACAGGCAGAGTGAATCAGCAGAGAGGAGGGGGATTCTTTTCAGGAGTGCTCACAGCTCTAACTGGTGTGGCGGTAAATCTATTGTGTTTCTCTGCACCTCCCACCCCCCTGTTCCCCTCCCCTCATTTCCACTGAAGTCAGTTCTGTTGAAATCATTTAATTGAAACAATTGATGGCGTGACTATGTGTAATTCACTGTGTATAATTTCTTTTTCTTTTTCTCTTTATTTTTTAAGAGACAGGTTCTGGCTCTGTTGCCCAAGCTGGAGTGCCATGGCACAATCATAGCTCACTATAACCTTGAACAGGCTCAAGTGATGCTCCCACCTCAGCCTCCAAAGTAGCTAGACTTGCAGGCACCATCATACCCTGCTATTTTTTAAAAATGTTTTAGAGAGACAAGGTCTCCTACGTTACCCAGGCTGCTGGGTTATATGATTTTCTCAGGAATGTTGCTTGCCAAAGTAGACCACATAATAGTTCCCTGTACATGTTAACTTTATCCTTTTTAATCCCCTTTGTAATCTATGTAACAGTTACCATTATTATTCCTATTACAGAGCTGAGGAAATCGCTCTATAATAGGTAATAAAGTGGAATTCAAGACCATATCTGCCTTGATAATACAATCGTAAGTCCACACCACTTTAAGTGTTGTATTCTTTTTAAGCTATATGCTACAAAAATGTAAATGTTTTTCTAATAGAAAAGGCACATGTATCAGTTGTGTTGACCAGGTTGATAGAGTCAAGGGTACACCTGTTCCCAAGTGCCCTGCTATGACTCCTCTTCCAGCCTCTGTTCCCTCACTGCCTAGCAATCAGATTCCTGCCCGAGGACAGCTGTGCTTCCCAGTCCTCTGTGGCAGGAGTGTTGCCCTGTATCCATATACAGACTCAGTGTCACGCCCTTCAAACTCAGCCTCTTCCCTTCCCTACCCCACGCACATATTTAGAATCTGATATCTCTGACTCTGTGTCTAAGGTCCCTATCACTTTTCCCTAGGTGGTCCTGCTTGTCTATCACTGGAGCAGCAGGGAGTCTGAGCACGACCTCCTGGTCCACAAGGCCGTGGCCAAATGGACAGCGGAAGAAGTTGTCCTCTGGCTGGAGCAGCTGGGCCCTTGGGCCTCTCTCTACAGTGACAGGTTTTTGTCTGAAAGAGTAAATGGAAGGTGGGCACAGTCTGACACATTGCGGGCATTTTTAAAACAGCTTTATTGGGATATAATCCACATACTATAAAACACACTTTTGAAATGTGCAATCAGAGCTTTTTAATTTCTTCAGGTAGATGCAGCCATCACCACAATCTGGCTTTAGAATGTCCACCCCCCCCCCAAGAAAGCTTTAGTCGCCAGTTCTCACCCTCTACCCCTAGCCCCTGGTAAGCACCATTCTACTCTCTGTCTCTTTGGATTTGCCCATTCTGTACTTTTCTTTTCTTTTCTTTTCTTTTTTTGAGTTGGAGTCTCACTCAGTCGCCCAGTCTGGAGTGCAGTGGCCGCTCCCGGCCACCGCAGCCTTGACCTGCTGGGCTCCGGTGATCCTTCTGCCTCAGCCTTCCAAGTAGCTGGAAGTACAGGCATGTGCTACCATGCCCAGCTGATTTTTTGATTTATTGTAGAGATGAGGTCTCACTGCCCAGGCGGGTCTCGAACCCGCAGGCTCAGTCAATCCACTCACCTCAGCTTCCCAAAGGCACGGGATTACAGGCTGAGCCATCGAGCCTAGCTTGTACTTTTCACATAATATGTGAAATTATATTTCATGTAATATGTGGTCTTTTGTAACTGGCATTTTCATTTAGCATGATTTTTTTCAAGGTTTACTCATGATATAGCATGTATCAGTATTTCATTATTTTTTATGGTTAAATATTCTATCACACAGGTATACCACATTTATCCATTTGGGGTTGATTCCATTTTTTGGCTATTATGAATAATGCTATGATCATTCATGTGCAAGTTTTTGTGTGGACATATTTTTAATACCATCTTGGAGTGACTAATCATATGGTAACTCAGTTTTGACTCTATAACTGTTAAACTATTTTCCACAGCAGCGATACCATTTTACGTCAATGACATTTGAATTTCTATTGCTTCCTGATTATAAAAGTAACATAAGCTCAATGGCTCATGCCTATAGTCCCAGAAAATTAGGAGTCCAGGAATTCAAGTCCAGACTAGGTAGCATAACAAGATCTCACCTCTACCAGACATGGTGGTGTGCACCTGTAATCCCAGCTACTTGCAAGGCTATGACAGCAGGATCACCTGAGCCCAGGAAGTTGAGACTACAGTGAGCTATGATTGTGCCACTACACTCTAGTCTGGGTGACAGTGAGGCTCTGACTTTTAAAAAAATTACCTTTTTTTAAAACATCATATAGAACATGATATTGAAATGACATACCCTTTGCAATCCTACTCTTCAGAAAACGTATTTTGCTAGACATCATCCACTTTTTTTCAACAATTATACAGATAAATATACAAGTGTGTGTTATTTCTTTTTTTTTTTTTTTTGGTGTCAAAGTCTCACTGTTGCCCAGGCTGGAGTCCAGTGGCATGCTCATGGCCACTGCAGCCTCGACCTGCTGGGCTCAGGCATTCCTTCTGCCTCAGCCTTCTAAGTCACTACCACACCCAGCTTATTTTTTATCTGTTGTAGAGACAAGGTCTCACCAAGATACCGAGGCTGGTCTCAAACCCCTGAGCTCAGGCAGTCCTCTTACCTTGGCCTCCTAAAGTGCTGGGACTACAGGCTTGAGCCACCACGCCCAGCCAAGTGTGTATTATTTCTTTAAACTGAAAATAGTTAAGATCAAACTGACCTCTATATACTTATTTATGCATCCACCCTGAGTGGAGTTGTTAAATAGAATACCAGTGATGACAATAGCGATCTAACTCGTTTCCTTCAGACATGCAGCCACTCACTGCAGGCTGCCCACTCGTCACTCTTCCACCCCCTCCACTGAGCTTTCAACACTCAATTCTCTTTTGATGAGGAGAAATGCGCCCACTTTAATTGGTTTTTTTAAAGAAATCCGCCTCTCCCAAAGTTATGGTATAAAAAATTCTCTACCTAGTTATTCCAATGTTTTTCTTAATTGTCTTCTAGAGAATAAATTCCTATAACTGGAATTTCTGGGTAAAGGGGAATAAATTAAATCACTACCCAAAAACAATGTTGTAATTTTTATTGGATTTTCTTCTAATCAAGTCACCTTAATTCCTTAAGCCAATTTTCTAATCCACGAGGGGCCATAATGCCATCCACTGTACAGAATTGTTAAATGCAGTGACTTAAGAAAGTGTTTTCAGATCATTGACAAATAATAAACATGCAGTTATCTGCTGTCATTAATGTTGTTAAATGCCTTTCATCTTACCTCAAACCTAAAGTAATTATGTTGACTAGATAGGACTTTGAATGTGGAAAATTTGCTTCCAGCATATAATCTCAAAAGAAATCTTCTCTTATCCCCACCCCTCCACAGATTGCTTTTAACTTTGACAGAGGAAGAATTTTCAAGTGCACCGTATACCATAGAAAACAGCCACAGAAGAGCCATCCTCATGGAGCTGGAACGTGTCAAAGCACTAGGCGTGAAGCCCCCCCAAAATCTTTGGGAATATAAGGTGAGCTCTATTTAATTGAACAAGTATAGAAAACAGTATAACAGTCATCGACATGCCCACTGCTTAACTTTTTTCTGGTGGGGTCTTCTTGCTGATGGTTGGGAGCTCTCTGCAGCATAGGGCATCACATGGCAAGGGTGCTGAGTGTACTGATATTTTAGTTCAAGTCTCCACATCCTCTTATAAAGCTATCAGTTCACCTCCCATGATAACCTATTAATCTATGAATGAGCCGGCTCGGTGGCTCAGCCTATAATCCCGCGCTTTGGGAGGCTGAGGTGAGTGGATTGCCTG